CTGCTGAACAGGTCTCTTGGATCCCTACTGTAAGCAAGATCTGCCTCTGAGCCAGGAAAAATGGGTCCATCAACACAGTGTCGTTAAACTGAATTCTTACAAAGTTTGTTCTCAAGCAGGACTTGATTTTTTTGTGGCTATTATGCTGATTAAGCTTGGCTTCTAAGCTGATGGGCAGGTTTGGGAGGTGGCTTTTTGGTTGGGTTTTTTTAAAATAAGTTTTTGTGCTGGGGAGAATGTTCAAAGCCACTTTCAGTAGCTTCCCAGAAGAGTTACTTAAACTCCCTTGCCAAGGAAGCTGAAAGGAATAATGGTCTCGAGGCCTTCCTCGCTCTGTTCACGTTGGCTTTTAGCAATCCTGCAGCGTATCCTTTAGAGTGGTGCCCAGTGCTAAGATTCTGTTGACGTGGTCAGAGTCGCAGCATTCAGGATGAGCTGTGCTCCGCCAGAAGCCGAGTGCTGTGTGCGTAAGGAAATCACGCATGCTTTCCTCTTCTGTTAACAGGTGCCAAACAGAAGGAGAATGAAAGTGAATGACTGCTGTGAATGTGCACGCGCTTGTAGGAGAACTTGAACAAAGTTTCTGGGTCAAGTTTGTCTGGAGAACAGTGACTGCAATAGAACAGAGCAGGATGGTTGAGAATGTGTATTGGGACGTAGTGATGGATGACGAGTCTATTCCCCCAGTGATGTCGCAAAAAAAAAAAAAAGCAGCATGACAAAAGCTTATGTTAAAATGTAGGCTTGTATTTCAAAATGTCTTCAAAACATTTGCTGGAAGACTTCACATGATGTCCTTCATTAAAATGCACTGTATTCTGAAACTTTTTCATTTTGTATTTGACAGAAGTCACTGGTCAGCAATGGATATATGTGACATAAGGCAAGTGTATGGCATATTCATATCATAGTGCCTTATGTCAAAATACAGCAATATGTCATCACTGTTGCCCATCACTGTCAAAGGAAGTATTGTGCTAAACGAGACACTGTATTTGAATGTGAAAGTCTTTAAACCTAAAACCAAATCAGTTTCAGTTCTCATTAGATTTGTCATAAAAGCTGTAATTTGAATATCGGTAGACTTCTTTAAACCTTTAATGACAGTTTTGTGTTAAATGTTGCATTCTGAACTGAGATGTAAAACAAGACTGATTTTAAAAACAGCTTTATTTATTTTTACTTTCATGACAATTTTTTACACATCTTTGGTGGATAGCTAAAATTTCACCATATCCATTAATAAACTGTTGATTGTTATACAAACAAGTAGTAGATTTTCTCATTATTTTAAACTTTGGAGTTGCAGAAGCTGTGGCCTATCAATCAGTCCGTATTACTTGAGCTGAAGAAGCATGGCTCGAAAGTGCTCTGTACTGTAATACCCAGGCACCGTGGAGGGAATGAGGTGCCAGAGAACAGTATTTTCATCTGTATTAAAGTGTAAAACGATGTTTGTACAACAAAACTGAAACTTTTTATTGTATATGATTTGTACAGAAGTGGAGGAGTGAGGAAAGCTGTGGGGTAATCGCTAATGTAAATGTACTGTAAAGTTTGAAGATGAGACTTTTGTAATTGTAGATTCTTGCAGATGGAAGAAATTAAACCCTACCACATCAGTTTGGTTTTAGCAGTTCTTGCCAAGTTCTTTTGCATGTATAAATGTACGTGCATTTTGATTAGTGTAAACTAGGTGCAGAAGCATTCTTATTCTCCTTCAACTTTAAAGGCGGCTTATGCTAACGGAATAATGCAGGCAATACTTTTTACTGTGTGTCCAACCTGAATTCTGTACGTATATAACGGCAGTAAATTGATCTGCTATTTTTCCATTTTAAAACATAGAGCTAAAAGGTTAAGAGTTCTCAGTTTGCTTATGAAATGTGAGGGGTTTGATAGTAATGAAAAACCGTTTCTTCAGAAATTTTCCACTTTCTATAAGAATTTAAATTTTGAACTAAGTGTGTGAAAATTTTCTTCTTACTGGCATCTTTCATGTATAAAAATATTGCTCACTTTGTTCCTCTGTGAAGAACATTCTCAAGTCTTCTGCAGCACCTTTTCTCACTTGGTAAATACCGACTCTGTTCCCTGCGATTCTGGAGGGTGTTGGGTTGAAACAGCTGGTTTGGCCGAACAGCAGTGACCTTAGGGTCTGGTGCTGATTGCTGCCCTCGGAGATGACATCAGCACAGCTCTGATCATCACTGTTGGGGAGATGGAGTCACAGAAACTAAAAATAGTGACACTCGTTCTTTGTGGGGTGTGTGGAGGGGATAACTTGTGGTAGATGGACAGGGCTCTGAGCAACCTGATCTGGCTGAAGATGTCCCTGCTTACTGCAGGGGGGTTGGGCTAGATGGCCTCTAAATGTCCCTTCCAACCCAAAGCATTCGATGATTCTGTGAGATGAGAGAACTCTGTATTAGAGCTAAGTGGTCAGCAGTCCTGCCTGCGGGTGCCACCCAAGCTGCGTAGATGCCACTTTGTGAAAGCCCAGGTGCTGCCCTGGCCCCTAGGATGCCAGAGAGTTGCCCAAATGCAGTGAGAGATCTCTCTCCCCGTCACTAGTCCACATGAGCATATTCTTCAGCCCTATATTCACAGTATTTTTGAAGATTGTTGAACCACTGATAGGTAGTTTTCACTTTATTTTTTAGCACAAAGTCTTTTGGCCCTGTTCCACGCAGACAGCTTTGGGCCTGTCTGCATAAATTAGGATGCAGAAAGCCAGAATGAATTTGCAGCTTTTGAACAACCGTGTACAGACTTCCTCTTTCAACATTATTACAAGTGCTGTTGATGTGTTGTGGACACAGGGCTAGCAAAATGATGGAAAGCAGCCTCCTCAGTGATACAAAACTGTATTTGGAGAATTTTTGCCCTTACCTTCTGGAATTCAGTTCTGAACTTTGAATTTGTGAGCAGCAGAATCGCAGTGTAACTCCATGAGCATGAACAAACAGCAGTGCTATCAAAGAGGCACTCTGTACAGGCACAAGCACCAGTGCTGCTGCAGTAAACCAAACTAAAGAAATCGTGTCATTTTTAGTACAGATCACTTTACTCCAGAGCTAGAAAAATGCTTGCTCCAGCACAAGGGAGGGCCAGGAATGAGTAAATGAGGGGAGAGGAAGGAGGGGTGACTCAGCAGCAGTGCTGCATGTACCAGGTTAAAGTGACAGTGCAACTAAAGCCTTGATCTCAGACTCTTCACATGGCTCACAAGAGGCCTTGGCCAAGAATGAATAAGATGTCATTAAACTCAAGTTCTCGCACATTTTTTCCTCTGGACAGGCAGCAAGCAGATCTGAGACCACAACGCTGGCTCCAGGCGCTCCCTGTCTTTCCACAGACAGGGCCATGCTGCAACTGGAGATGGCAAGAGGCTTCCCCAGTGACTCAGCTGAAAGCCTGATCGATAGCGTAGATGATCTTCTGTCCCAAGGATGTGAGAGGCTCTAGAAATGGATTCTGTTCTAACCAGCAGGACTGTAAAACATGTCATTGATTCCTGTGCTTCCCTGTGCAGTTCCTTGCCTAGCAAGAGATGTCTGTGAAAGCTAATTATTCTAAAAGGCTTCTTGGTCTTGGAAGGGAGCAGAGTAAGTTTCGGTTTTACCTACTCTGGATATTTTTAGCTGGTTAGGTGTAAGACGTTCCTTGGTAGACTTCAGCCCTGAATATTTTTCAGTGTCTAGAGATGCTCTGAACTAACTTAGGGAAAATCGCCCTTCGCTGGCATTGATCACTTAGCTGATTAAAACACTTCCCTGTTTCACTTCTGGAATCCTTTTGGTTAGAAGATCTGAGATCTTTAAGCGCCCCCAGACAGTATTTGCTGTTTACAAGGAACTGAACTGCCATTGTTGTGTATCCAAGGCCTATTCATCTTTTACTGAGGGATATTATTCTGCTGGGAACGCAGAAAGAACCAGCCTCACTTTCTGAGGTTTGAGCTCTTGTCCTCCCAGCAGACGAGAGGAAGGTGACTGAAGTGGTTCCAAGACTGCGCACGGCTTTGGGAACATTCCTTGCTGTCTTTTGAGAGCACGCGGGGTAAGTTGGAGGCTTTCAGTTTTGGTCCAGCCAGAAGTGAAAGCACACGTGCTTGATCCTGTCAGGCAGCAGGCTGTTCAGCTGCTCGTACTGAGCTCTCCAGTCAGCTTTCGTAGCCAGCTTACTTCAAAAGTTTCTATGAACTTTCACCCCATATAAACACTTATTAGGGGTGATTTCCAGAGGAAAATGTCATTCTGTGTAATTTAATACTACCCTTGTATCCTCATAATACATGTTATGCAAGAAAGAATGTTCTGCAGACACTGCTCTTTACTCCTGACTTCAGTTCTTATTTTAAATGCGGTTTGGAAAGTCTTTGCAGTCAGACCTGTTCCTGCTGAAGTGAAGGGGCACAGGAGGTGACCTGTACTCCTACGTCACTCATTCCTTTAGAAAAAACCACGCGTCCCTGCCAGCTGCATACCAGGACCCGTATTGCAACAGCCGCTGTGAGCTGAATTAGTTCCTTAATCTGATTCTACTAACGTTTTGCCAGTGTTTCTAACTGAATATTGGAAAATATGATCATTGTGAAAAAGCAGGAGGGAGTAGGAACAAGTGTAAGACTGAACCAAATGTACTTTGTAACCTCTGCGGGCAGCAAAGGCTCTGCTGTACACATGGAAGCGAGCCCAAAGTAAACGCCGGACACACAGCAAAAAAGCTCCTCGGGAAGGTCCTGATTTGCCAAAGGACAGAGCAGGTAATTGAACTGCTAATTGCTGTTACGGGAATCAAATGTACAAGTTAGAGCTGTTCTTCATTTGGACTCTGAGTAGCAGTGTGTTCCTGGGTTTGTATGTACTGTATTATAAAAATACTTGACTGTTGAGTTATGTTTACTACGTGAAATTCATCATGGTTTTTCCTCCACCACGGCAAAGCAGATGTAGGCAACAAAAGACAGACACGTTCCCTTTTCTCCAGCTCCCTCAGCATCTGTTTCTGCTCTCACCGCACACACATACTCCGTCGGCGCTCGCAGTTCTCCCATTTGGTATCTTCTCTTTCAGAACCTAGGCCATACCTGATGTGTTGCATTCATCGACTATGTTGTTAACTCATTCACAATAAAATGAATGTAATTTATCAGCTGAACGCATGATGAAGGCTACCTTTAATTTGAAGGAGCGTCTGGTGAAGCGAGATACAAAGCAGGCCTGGAGTACAGGCGGTGCATAGGTGCACGGCATGCGTCACTTGTCCCAAAGTTCTCTGAACTCCTTTTGGTTCACAGCACGACTTGCAAACCCTGCAGAAAGGAAGAAGCTGGAGTAGGACCAGGGAACGCACAGGCAAAGCCCTAATCCCTAATTTACCGCTGCTACAGGATGCTCTGCTGTGAAATCGCACTTGGATTGTTAGAGGGGAGAGAATTTCAGCGCGGGGCCGCTGGATGAGTGTGTGAAGCTGTGCGGCCCTAAACATATCAACGGTACGAGTTCAGATAAAGCGCGATGCCCTGATTAGACACGTATGACATAGATGTGCTCTCCCTCAGCACCAGCGTGCTGCTGGGCAGGAGAACCGCAACGACAGCCCTGCCGCCATCCAGATCATCTCATCTCTGCTTCAGCTGCTACCGCTGGAGCAGCAGCATCCCAGGGTGCGCCCAAAGGCCACCTGGCACTGTCACCAAGTCCTAGGGCGTGGAGGAACAACAGAGTTCCCCAAAAGCTCCATATTTGCCTGTATTTCGAGTGTTCCAGTCAAGACAGAACGAAACACGTGATCCTGATGGAATAAGGGTTATTAGCCAATTCCTTCCAAAGAACCAGTTGAAGAAAAGAAAGTCATAGGTTTTTCTGCAAGTTTAAAAGCCACCCGTGCCCAGAAAGGGCAAGTTCTGTGCTCCTGCTGCAATGCAGGTTAAGCAAGCCTGGAGGGTGTCCTCTGGTGGGACAACTCTGTTGCGATTAAAGGCAGTAAATAAAGCAGCTGAAGGAGGGGAGCAGACACCCTGCAGTAGTGACCTCACCTAAATGAGCAGAGAGAGTGAGCAAGCACAAGTTAACAGAAACGAGACAAACAAAAAGACAAGGGTGCAACAGGTGAGCGAGCTAAGAAAAAGAGAGTAAGGGAAAATACCTAATCAAAAGAAGTGGGGTGCCAAGGAGAGAGCAAAACCAGACACAGGAATCCAAAAAATTTTGGTGCTTACCACTCCCTGGAAAGACCTGAACATATTTTCTGAACATGTAGATTAGGTTTCAGCAGCGTGCAAACCACAGCACCTCAATAAAACACACCAGGTAGTAAGAACTGTAAGGATATGGAAGTTGAAAAAGTAACTGCCCCAACCTTCACCTGTGTTTTCAAACCTGTTCACATCACAGGAAGGTAACTCTGACCTCAGGGGTTTCAGTCCTCTGGCTCGGTAAATAGCCTGAATTTCAGACCACGCCATGTTTGCAGAGGGAGCGGGTGCGAAGATGGCAGCACAGCTGCCGAGATCCTCGAGGCACGGTCCTGCAGGATTACGGGCACTGCCATCCTCACGCCTGTTAAGCCACCAGCCTCGCGGCTTGTTTAAAGATTTCTGTTTTTTAGAGCACGC